ACCCAAGGTAATTGGCATCTTAAATTGGCAATAATTAACTTTGGTCAATGGCCATTTGGCCATTTTGTCCATTGCTTCTTGCTCCCTAGTCTCATATGCGTTGCGGCTGCGCCCTTTGGTCACCAGCAAAAAGTCATCGGCATAAGCCAATATTTCCGTGTGAGGATCTGTGTTAAAGAAATTCACGCCGTGTCGGCTACAAGATTCCAAAGCAGTGGACCCAGACAGGACCTCAGTCTGGACCACGTGGTGTGGAGGTAGGCGTAACCTCGAGCAAAAATACAACTACAGCCGAGGAACCAGTTCCTCTCAATATGAAGCCGAAATCCGCTGTGCTGCTGGAAATCTAAATACGCTTTCAAATGCATACAGAATTATTATAGCTGAGAGGCTTGAACTCTCGATGAAGAAAATTCTAACTGCTCGGATACCCTTGCCTGATTGTTAACGATGGTTATTTTATGACGGTTGATTAATGTGTGTTTATTTGGCCGGATGGCTTTCATAATATTCGAAGCTGAGTAAGTGTATGTACAAGTTGTTCAGTATGTGCTATGCCGTCAACAAATGTAGTCTTGAGTGAGTTTGTTGTTTTGCCGCCTAGTTCTGTTCCCTGGCTCTACGTAACATTTTTATGGTGTCAGGAGTGTGGTACCGGGGATATCCGAGGATATTACCGAAGATATTTTTATAGGTAAAAATCTATTGTGAAAGAAGGCAATAAAGATTGAAAATAGCGAAGTGAAGACGGCGGAATGTTTGAGGTGAGCTGGTTAGTTTCGTTTCAATTTGTCGATGCTGGAATGATTTATTGGGTGTTGTAGAAATGTATGGGTAGTTAGGGAGATGTTAGGATTTGAGGTAGTTTGAAGAGAAGGTCTGTATTTGCAATGATTGAAGCTAGAATATTCTTGTTATGTATTTAAGTTGTTTGTTTAATGTGTATGTTTGTTGTATATTGAATTAGAAATGGTATTTTTTGAATAAAGTAACATTGTACGTAAGAAAATACGTAAAAATGGATGCGTTAGACAGATTAAAAAAATAAGCGCAAGTCAGTTAGAACTGCTACTACAAAATTATTAAATAGCATTGAAGAAATATTTAAAGATCTAAGTAGTTTTGCTTTAAATACACTGAATGAAACTATTGAAAACGAAAGGACGCGAAATGATTTAATCTTAGGTATTGAGGCTTTGTTGCCTGTTGCTGAAATTGAAAATGATGTAGCTACTTCCATAGATTATCATGACAAAATTCAATGGAAATATTAAGGTCCGTACAACAGAGCGGATGAGAATTTGAAATGTCCTGAAACGTCTGACACTCCACTTATAGTAAATGAAAAAAGAACTGTAAAACTTCCTAAACTTCATATTAAGCAATTTTACGGGGATCCGTCATCGTGGTTAGAATTTTTGGTCAGTTTGTGTCGGCTATCGATAAAAATTCTACTCTTTCTAAAATAGATAAATTTAATTATCTCAAATCATATGTATAGGGGCAAGCTGCGAGTTCGATTGCTGGCCTAGCGATTACGAAAAGAAATTACAAGGCAGCGCTTAATATACCCACAAATAGGTTTGGTAATACTAATCCCTTAATCCAAATTCATATGAATAATTTATTGAAAATTCCTGCTGTTCATAATCCGAACGATATAGTTTGAGAAAATTTTTCGAAAAAATAGAACGGCAAATTATAAACTTGAAAGCTTTAGTTATAAAAACTGATACATTTGGTAATTTGTTAATGTCGATAACTTTCGACAGAACGCCGAAAGATCTTGTCTTGGAGTTTAATAGAAAATGGCCGAGTAATTTCACTTTCCAGGACGTACTTACGTTTTTAGAGAGTGAAATTCAGTCTAGGGAAAGAACATATTTAGTTCGAACAAAACCTGATTCCCCTAAAATTTAAACAGAGATTTATATTAACGAAGCTAGATATAATTTTAGAAAATCTAATTATAATAAAAGATACGTTGATTATGTGAAGCCAACCGGATGTTATGCTACCACAATTAAAAGAAATTGTGTATTTTGTATTAGCCCAGATAACGAGTTTTATGAGTTTAAGATCGGAAAAATAAACTGAAAAACTGAAAATACGTGTTTCAAATGTTTCGATAAAATCATTAAATCGTATGTGTAGATTAAAATTCGAATGTTAGGATTGCAAAAGTAAATGATCAAAATAAAGCTGAAAAGTAAAGCCCAGTTGATGCAATTGTAAGTGAGTCAGTAAACAATGCAGTCATTTTGCAATGTAATTCAACGGTATCAAAAACCAGTATATTGTTGTTGACAATGTTCAATAATTGCCAGGTCAGTAAATCAGTCCAACATTTCAAAAACTGCGCGTATTTTGTTAGGTAATGGATCTGAACGTTCTTCGTGCACCAAACGTTTAGCTAATTCCTTAAAATTAAAGCCTATAAGAAAGGAAAAATTATCATGTTATTCTTTTGGTTCATCAAAAGCAAACGAAAAATTATACGATGTAGTTGAAATAAAATTAACGAACAGATATAGTTCAGTTAAATTTATTGAAGTCGAAGCATTAATTACTGATACAATTAAGGCTGCTCCAATTGCTATTCCAGATGATAAAATACAGAGTATTTTGAAAAGCTAGGATTTTATTTTAGCTGATGAATGTAAAAATGATGATCAGTTCGTAACCATATTAATTGGAGGAGACACGTTTTGGAATACTATTGAGAATTCTGGGTTTCAGAAAATAAATAAAACTCTTAGTTGCATACGGACAATTTTTGGTTTTACTCTGCAGGGAATTCAGCAGACGTGCAATTAATCCAGTTGTGTAATATATTATCTTCTAACCTGAATATAAGAATAGATGTTCAAGTGTTACGGGAATTGGAAAAATTAGACATAAGAGATAGTGATGAATTATCTATTACTGGCAAGTGCTTAATTGAGCAATTCAAAAATTATCTGAGACTAAATTGTTATGGAAAACATCGCTTTCGGAATTAGAAAATAATTTTTCTATAGTTAGAAGACAGTTTGACGATTTGCGAAAGTGCTTTGAAAATACCGAACATGAAATTATGCATATGAATAGGTTACCGTTTGGTTGCAAAATTTCACCTTTTGTACTAACTAGTACTATTAAAAATCCACATTAGGAAATATGAGAAAACTAATCCTGATTCAGTACGCATTTTAAATGCATCATTATATGTGGATAACTTATATTTTGGTGCAGAAAATGCAAATGAGGCATACGAGTTATCAAATGATGCTGTTTCCATTTTGAAGGCAGGTGGGTTTAACTAGCGAAAATTGAGATCCAGCTTTCCTGAATTGGAAAGATTATGGGATTTGAATAATCTTAATATTGAGAATAGTAGAAGACAGCTGAAAGTACTAGGTGTGAATTGGATTCCTAAGGATGATCTCATTTTCCCTTGATGTTGATATAAAATTGCTCCTCTGAAGAAAATTACATTGCCTCGTTTAGAATTAATGGCAATTTTAATCGGTGCTCGATTTGGAAACAATAGTTTCAGTCTTTTTGGAGATTTGATCACTAAACAGGTATATTGGACTGACTCGGAAGTAGCTTTATATTGGTCAAGGAAAGTGCCAAATGTTGGAAACAGTTTGTAGCTAATCGTGTTTTGAAAGTTCAGGAAAAAAAAAAAAAAAAAAAAAAAAAAAACAGATTCTAAATGTTGGTTTCACTGCAGGTCTGTAGATAATCCGGCAGATTTAGTGACACGGGGGATATCAGTTGGAGGTTTGATTTCGAGTGAAAAGTGGTTTTACGGACCTTAAGGGTTACCCAAAAGTAAGGAATGTTGGCCTATATAGTTGAAGGGAGCTCAGTTAGATAAGGCTATTGTAGAAAAGGAGAAAAAGAGGATTATAGTTAAGAATGTGGTGGTAAAGTTAAGTTGTGGAACTTAACCTTGCAAACATACTGCTGCAGTTGAAACCATTCTTAGTTGAAGAATTGTAGAATAAATTTTCTTCGTGGAATTGATTGCTTAGGGTTATAGCTTGGTGTTTGAGGTTTATTGGTAATGCCCTGAAATCTAAAACTCTAACCCCCTACGTAGAGGTAAGAGAACTTAAATAGGCTTACACAATTATAATTAAGGCCGTTCAAAGTTTTAAATTTCACGATTAAATTACTAAGTTAGAAACCCATAATTCTTTGAATGTCTCAAATAAGTTACATCAGTTAAGCCCTTTTCCCGATAAGGACGGATTTATGAGAGTTGGGGGAAGATTAAGAGATGCAAATTTGCGAGAAGAAACTAAGCATGCAATTATTCTGCCAAAAAGCAATCACGTAACGAACTGACTTATAAATCATTACCATTTGAAGTTTCTACACTCAGGTTTCCAGTTGACGCATTCTGCCCTTCGACAAAATTATTAGATTATTGGAGCATAATCAGTAATTTGTAGAATTATAAGAAACTGTATGATTTGCATTCGTCATCTCGAGGAACTGTCACAACAACTTATGGGTGACCTTCCTGTATCTAGAGTAAATGTAGGGAGATCATTTTCACGGACTAGTACCGATTTCGACGGTCCATTTCAAGTTTGCCATAAGTGTGGCAGAGGAATATGGCCAACAAAGATGTATGTACATGTGTTTCTGTTCTTCATCACGAAAGCTGTTCATCTGGAAGCTGTCAGTGACTTGAGTTCCAGTGGGTTCATTGGTGCTCTAAAACGGCTTGTTGCACATACAGGAACACCACAAATAATTTATAGTGACTGTGGATGAAATTATGTTGGTTCACGAAATGAATTAAAAATGTGGACTTCAAAAAATGTTGGGCGTTTCTTAGCAGAGGAAAATGTTGAGTGGAAACTTAATGCTCCTTACCCCCTCATTTCGGGGGCCTCTGGGAGGTTGCAGTAAAAACCATGAAATTCCATATGAAAAGAGTGATTGGCTCACAGATATTAACCATCTGAGAATTCAATACATACTTTGCCAAAATAGAGGCAATGAACTCACGACTACTCATTCCAGCATCCGACGATCCTGATGATCTATCCGCACTCACCCCAGCACATTTTATCATTGGTACTGAAATAAAACGAATACCTGAACCAAATGTTATAGATGAAAAAATTACCATGCTCGAGCGATGGAAGCTGGTGACACAGATTTCGGAAGCCTTTTGGAAAAAATGGTCTAAGGAATATTTAACGCAGTTAAAATTGAGAAATAAACGGAGGAAAGCCAGGACTAACATGAAAATTGGAGATTTAGTGTTGATTATGGAGGACAACCTACCTCTCTTAAAGTGGAGAATGACTCCAATTATACAAGTTTATCTCAACAGTAAGGAAAAGTTCCGAGTTATCAAATTAAAAACTGCCAGTAAGGAACTAATTAGACCAATACACAAACCGGTACTACTAATGACTGAGAACTGAACTGTATATTACTTCCTTTCTTTATTACGCTTTTAATTAAGCTTTATTTTGCTTTGTAGTTTAGATTATTTTAACATTACCGATTTTTGCGGAAAACGCTCATTCACTATGCTGAGTTTGTATAAGTGTTATATTTGGTGATTTGTAAAACTACATAAGTATGTATATTTTATTTCATGCAATGCTATAATATTTGATGTCCTAAAAGGCCACTGAGCCCCATTATGTTAACGACGGTTATTTTATGATGGTTGATTAATATATGTTTATTTTAAGCTGACGCCAAATCCAGCGCCATTTGGCGTCCATAAGATTCGAAACTGAGTCAGCGTACGTACAAGTTGTTTAGCCTGTGCTGTGCCATCAATAAATGTAGTCTTGTGTTAGTGTGTGTCTATGCCGCCTATTTCTGTTCCTGTCTACTACGTAATATTGATATCTTCAAGGATTTTCAAGAAATTATAAAAAAAAATATTTGTAGAATTTTCCATCTTGGATATTATGAAAATTATTACTGGCAGATTAAACGAAATTAAGGAAGCTGTCGCACCAATAGACAAAATGTTTGTCCTATTTAATATTTTGGAAGAAATTTTGAAGAGTGGTATACCAGGTAATCATATTTAAATCTTACAGTGTTTTATATTTTCGATGAATTTGCTTGGGTTAGGTTCCATTGATGCTCTTCATATTTTCGCATACTCTTGTATCTTCTATGTTATTCTTATTTCATATCTGTTGTTTGCATTTTTATTTTGTAATGATAAACCGTTAAGATTTCATACTGTTTCTTCGAGGAGCATGTTCTTGTGTGTTTTGTGTATTACGCTATATGTTATACGCCAGGCGTCCCCGTCCTCAGTCACCTGTCACCTGTATTACGCTTTCTTCAATTTCAAAGCGTTTCTTCATATTAGTGACTATTTTCATCAATCGTAGCAATATCTTTTACTTCGTGAAGATAAACTCGGAAAGGACTATTTTTCGATGGAGGTAGGTCTTAGACCACGTACTCCGTTGTTTACACCACTCAGTAAGAAACTGCGCTTAAAGTGGTTTGTAATGTTTGAAGCCCCAATAGGAGCTACTGACATTTTTGAAAAGCACAGTTCATATTTCATTTTTTTAGTATAATCTCAAACTCTTTTTTAAATCAGATAATGATTTTTTAATTGAACAGTAAACATACAGTTTCTTTTTTGGCATTTTGGATATTAAATTTAATGTACAATGTAAAATAATCAAGAATGCCATTTGCAGTTTGATTTCAACTGAAATAAGACATGCTCAACAATGATGTGATCAGTATAAATTTCAGTGTTGCCAACTCTAATTAAAATAAAATATCTAAAAATGAAATAAAATATCTGGATCTCATAGGCTACATGCTATTATAAATTTTATGAAAACTATCTAGGTGACAAAATAAAACATTGAAATTCAATAAGCTACATGCTATAATTTTGAGGAAAATCATCTAGACAGCATTAAAGTAGATCATACATCTAGATAAAAATAATATTTAGATTGGCAAAATTGAATGTAACAGAGGGAACATTTTAATTGCCAAATCGTCTGTTTACCCAAGGTTGCACTATTTTTACCTCTTGTATATTCGGCACTTTTAAAATTTTATCAAATAACCGGGACAGAATTAAAAACTGGCTGGGACACAGAGACCACATCATCAAACAGCTCATTGATCACATCAATGTTCACCAGAGAATAAACGCGATTTCTGTATGAAAAATCGGTATTTCAATTTGCTTTTTTATGCTGCTTCGAAAGGCCATTAATGTTAATTTTCGAAAGACTTGAAATGTTAATTTTTTCCATACCTCAACATTTTCTATCTCTCATGTAGATTTTGGATTTAGTATGTGATTCCTTCAAGGTGTAGCAAATTTTATGGCCAGCAGTGTATTTTTCGCCATCATGAATGCTGTAATGAGTGATCAGATGAAACAAGGTATTAATTTCTAAAATTAGAAGTTATAGGGCCTTTTAGGGTCATTGGAAAAGACAACAAAAATAAATTAATTACGGCAAAAATAATTAATAAATAACAAGATAATTACTAATTAAAATCCAATTAAAGAAATAACTAAAAATTTAACAAATTAAGTTAATGACAAGTTTAATAGTAAAATGAAACACCTGACCTCATCTTATTTGGAGCTCCGGCTGGATTTAGTTTTTTCAAAAAATAAAAAAACATAGGAACCGGCGGGCTTCGCTTGAATTTAAGTCTTGAATATACCGTGTAATGCACTATTTCAAAGGATGGGGGGAAAATGAAATCATTCTTTCTCCCAGCGCCCCAATGAAACGCCTCTTTTAGGTGATAGCGGTATTTCTCTTCCTAAAAAAAAATGAACCGGAAAACGGTTAAAACATCATTAACGAGAATAAAGAAAATGCTAGAAACAGCTGAGATTATGGAAAAAAATTAACGGAATAGTGTAAATATAAAACAAAGGAAAATGAAACACTCTGACCACCATCCTCTATCGATATCAATTATCAAGCAGAATTCATGACAAAATGGAAATGCCTCCGAATTCAAGGGTTGAACTGTAAGCCGTAAAAGATCTAGTAAATTTATTGCTTCTTGTAGATAAGGTTTCGACCTGTGGGTGATTGTTTTTGTTGCCTTAAAGGTCTCGATTTCTATCTAAGGATTTGTTTCCCAAAAAAAGACAGGTATGCATTCAGAGGTTTGATCATCTTACTTGTTGCTAAAATAAAATGGTACAAGATTAAAAGAATTTTATGTTGAATTTGTGGTTCAGTTTCATAAAACTTGCGCCAGAGATAATCGTATTTAAAGTTCCGATGCTTTGAAGCTAAATAAAGATTATTCTCAAAAACTGAGAGGTCTCTCTTGGAGCTCTGAATTGAGTATCTATACAGCATAAGATATCGAATTTCAGATTTGAAAATTTTAATTACGTTATACTGTGCATATAATATAATTATGATTTTTTTTCAGCAAAATGCATATTTCTTTTATATTATTTTTTTATATGTCAGAAACTTCTACATTCTGCTATCCTACTTTTCATCAAAATATCTTTCAAAATTAATTTTGGACACCAGTGAACTTTTCTTCGACAGGAAATTAACTCAAGATCTTTTTAATCATTTGCGCTGCTCTACCAATTGATCTAGAAATGAAATATTGCACGACAAAAATCGCCATGAAATATTAGTACGGGATTCAGCATGGGAATAAAATAGGTGCAAAGTGTGGTATTTCGCAATCATTCGCAACCCCCAAAATAATATATATAAAATAGCAAGCGTGCCCGCGATGTTTGCAGCCGTAGCTTGACAGGCGTCGTTGTGTATCAAGTCGCATTCATGGCTGGTGTCATATGTATCATATGGCAGTGACTGTTGCTGGAGTAGTGGGATACAGAGGACAGAAACGTCTGACTGTAGCATTTTTAAGTTCATTATACGATTAGCCAAATCGCTCCTAATCGTCAACCTGTGGTGGAAATACTAACGATGTAGGTGACATAGAAGTATCCAGCCAGACGATATGGTTCCAACATAAGATGTCAGGCGCTTTATCCTATGGGAATCGTTCACCTTCTAGGAGCAACAAAAGTCCTTATTAGTAATTGCCTGAAAACACAAGGTAATACTGAATATAATGCGTAAATAAAGGCTTGGGAGGCAGGTGGTACAATGGAGCAGAGAGGGTCACGAATACTCTTGCTTATGTACAGGTTGCAGAAGGCGCGCAGCGTGGGACTCATTGATGATGGAATGCCTCAGAACTCACTGTTATATTCCTTTGACTAATTTAGAGTGGCAAATATTGTGGATACATGCACCCTGTTTCGGAAGCTGCTGGCGACTGCGAAAGGCCGTGCCGTTTGAGCATTTTGTTCGCATTCTTGATTACCCCTGAGAGGTTCGTGGTGATTATTGACAGGAAGTCCGATAGCTTTTCCTGTACGAAGTGTTTAATTCACAAAGCCAAAACACCTTGAATTCTTTTCTGTAAGACAGGAGTAGATCCTCATAATTTCCTCTTTGTTTTCTCTTAAAAAATAGTTTAAATCTTTCACGCTTCGAATAGCATCCATTTCTTTTTATTTTTATTTGCTTTGCATGGAAATACTTACTTACTTTTCATTTACAAGCATTACATAAGTTGGATTGATTAAGCCTCCCATTATTTCATAGAAAATTATAAAGATTTCCGATATAATATTACTTTTATTTTTAGATGTGTCAGGTAAATGAGGTTTAACAACCTGAATTGACAAATTAATATCGTTACTTATCTTAGAGACACTTTGGAAATTTAAAGAAGTAAATTTCGGACATTAGATTTTTCAAACATATCACAGAAAATTACAGCCATTTCTATATTAAAATTGTGATTCCAGATTAATTATTTTCCCATTAAAATAATTCGATAAATGAGATGAAACAGCTGACACGAAAATGTCACGTCTTTACTTACGTTAAAAATACCCTGGAAACTAAAAGAAATGCTTCTGACTAACAAATGAATGAAGGTAAAAACCTGAAGTATTTGAACGTTATTAAAATATTTGGCACTCAACCTTTAAAGGTTATGAAAAAGAATAAAACAATGAAGTTATATATTACAGGAGTTTCTTGAGCAACATTTTAATTATGGTAATGATAACACGCATGAGAAGTGTTAATTTGTTGCGTTACCACAGCTCAACTTGAACATAAATGGTTTGATATTGATTTTATTTTACATCCACACTGAATGTCATCTAGTTCGTGAAGAGAAATGAGGCAACGGATATTTAAGTGGCATATAAAGGGACTCAGCTGCATCTTTTAACTTAGACCGATTACCTAACTATAATACGGAAACGATAATTCTTCTTCTTTTACACTTATGTTCGGAACACTTACGACATAAATAAAAGATAGAAAAAGTAGCATTCACTGAAAATAAAGGATTATTTTTTTCAATTTTATTTCAGTCATAGCAAAGATCGTTTCGAACCAAAATAGGTCATATCTGGGAAAAAATATCATTTCATTTCTTCAATGACAGAAACTTTTCTAAAGAGGATAAAAGCGGCCATTATACCACCAGTGAAGCTGCATATACGGGAAACGTCACTGAAGTTCAAATAAGATCATTAAGTTATTTGGACAGTTATGGCTGCAAAAGATCTATAAAATTATCCCCCAAATGTTTTTCTTCATAAGCAGGATGATGATGACACGTAGGTCTTTAATGAATACACACACGCATATCTATATACTTAACACATGCAGTCATTTACGGTATAATTGAGACGAATGGGAAATTGCTTTCTCAGAATTATACAATTCGTCGTTCAAAGTTCTCTAATCTTTCCTCAAAGCTGTACAACCTTCCATTATTCCTCTTTAAAATCTTCACATTCGTCATATTAATACATTCTGCCCTATTATTTCCATATTATAATAGATATATTTACGGGAAATTTTCTGGGGATTATTTTAGAAGTTAGTCAGCTAGCGATTAATGTTAGATTATAATAAATAATGCTAGGTAATGTAAAAGAATGAAGTGTTTCTTTAAGGGACAAACTGACGTTTAGGGAAGAAAAGCTATTAATCGATATTCTTAGCACATGCTAGAAATATCGAAAATGTAATTCAATAGCCAGCTGTTTCTTTCCTCCTGGAAATATTTTTAAAGATTTTTAAAGCTCTAGAACAAACGAATTGGCTGAATTTTCCTTTATTAAAAACATTACCTTCACAACTCTATCTTTCTTTGAACAAAAAATTGGTTACTAAAATTTCAAATTTCTTTTCATGGTTTATTTTACAAGCAACACAAAACTCGAACGAACGAAAACAAAACCTAGTGTAAACAGTTTTAGGTTGAGAAGCGAAAGCAACTTTCTCTTTTTTGACAGCTACTGTTAACTTAAGTTCTAGTACTTACCGCGAAATATATTGAGCACAAAATTATTCCAATGTTCAGAACATTCAAGCCACCATTCGAGAAGTCTGATTTTTTAAGGTGTATGTGATGGATGTTTGGATGAATTTTTTACAAAGAAAAAACTTTTAAGAGATTTCGGGAAACGTAATAGTAGACATGATCTAGAAAGTAATGGGCTAGAGAATAAATGATGAAAGTCTACTGTCAGTCAGCTCACTTGTCCGCTTTACCCTCAAAATGTAACACATTTAGCTATTCCATCTCATGTATTATATAATGTCAGAAAGTAAAAAATTTATTTGCAATAAACAAACAGAACAATAACATATACTTAAAAGACAATAGGCACCTCAATCCATTTATATCCACCGATATAGCTGCCATTTGCTAACACAGCATTACTTAAAAAACTGAAAATAAGTTTAGAGAAAACGGGAAACTGCTACTCGTCATTGATGTACAAAATTATGCTAACTTATAATATACAATGCGGTCATAATTGATTGAAGAGTTATATTTCAAATATTGTGAATTTATAACGATTGGGTTAAAATTATAAGCCTTGCTAACTAAAATCATTTTTATAGATGAATCTCTATGTAAACCGGTATTTTTCACGTACCCCAAAGCACTTGTCATTTTTCTAAAGATTTCGCTTTGTAATTGCTCAGTGTTTTCCTTGTAGGAGGGTGCTGCGGGGGCCCACGTTTGTACAGTGAACTTGCTCCAACAACTGCTGCACACAGTAAGACTGGTTCTAATTATTGAGAGAGATAACTAAACTTTTCAAACTGAATTAACTGCAAATGAGTTTTCAATAGCGTACTAATGTACGTTATTGAAAAACTCAATTGCCGCTCAATTTGGGAAAATTCTAAAGTGGGCTGTATTAAGTTCCTTAATTACTTAATATGCTTTCTAAACTTTAGTATTGTTAATCATTTCAAAGTTTTTGTTTACACAGGCAAGCTGAACTGATTCTTTAACAGTCGGTCCTTGTACTAATGTGTTGCTGGACTTTGTGCCTTCGAAATAAGACTGAGTACCTTTTTAATTTTATATTCCAGCATTTATATAAACGATATTAAGATTATATTGCAGCTTATAATTTGCTGGTTAATGGATCGTGCCATCACAGCCGGCTTGTTTGCGTATAAGTTGCTTTTTAATTGTAGAACATGAACTAAATTATTCACTGCAAAAATTTTGCAAAGGTATTGCAGCATCAACATTAAGCTGACTTCATGAATGCTTTCGTGGTTCTTGAGTAATGTGGACACGAGCCAGTTCCCTTTAGAAAGTTCTCCTTTACCTTAGGCAGATGGTCCTGGTGTACTTTACCATAAACTTTAATCTTTATCTTCACCATTTCCCTGTGTGCCTAGCAGAGGTTACACGAAGCAGATGTAACACTCATGTTTTTGGAGAAACCAGAACACATGATATGTATATCTTAAGGAACCGTACTGTTTCACGCAGTGAACATTACGCAAAAGAATCTGAATGATTTCTTTGAATATATTCAAGTTCTTTGATTAAGCAGTGAGATAAATCTTTTCAACGTTGATGCTATGACAAACATTTTGAAGTTTGCTCTATTCTAGGAAAGAAGAAGGAGAAAATAGATTCTTATGAATGTGGAAATATACAGATGATTCTTCTTTTAGGAAATGGAAATTTTCATTTTTATCGGTTTGTTTTATACCATTATTTAAAACACTCTCCAGTTGTGACTGCAGAATAAGGGTTTTATCATTGTTTAGGTATTTTGAAAAAAATTAGCTATCGCACCTCTTCTTTGCAGTCATGCATATGTTGGGGAAAACGTGTTCCTTAAATCTTTGCGCAGAACAGATTGGTGACGAAATTATCTTATTTTTCGAATTTTTCCAGATTGATGAAATTTCTCATACTCTTTGAGGTAACTTTCTATTTTTTTATTATAGTGAAATTCTGTGCTGCAGCGGCAGAGGAAGCCGAAAGAAAGGTCTTCGTGTTGACAGTCCGTGGTGCTACAGAAGTTGGTGGGACATACGTCGCACTGTACGTACGTCACTTGTCCTGTACTAGAACCAAGCTCCTGACTGAAGGTAAGTGCAGTGGCTGTAGAATCCTGCAAAGCCTGAAAGGACATCATAACTGTCCACTAGGATGTAAATATCCCCGGGCCGCTGAAATCCTACGTGGCGTTCAGTATAGCCAGAACAACATGAGCAGCAACGTCGCAAAAATAGCAATTGCAATAGGCTGCAATCCTGCAGCGGTCTAATTCTGACAGGTATTTAGAGGAGTTTCTTCTTACGCGAAGAATAACACGACCTTTATACAAACCACCAACGATCAAATGTGATTTCCAAATAAGGAACAAGCTGTGCAATTTTCTGATTTACACACACTATAGATGGGCGTTACTCATACCTACCTTTACACATGCGCTGCAAAGCTAACCATTTGCATATCCCAGCATGTAGTACTTTTCATGCACATTTGACATTTGTTGTATGCTGCCTTCATGGTGTAGAAATTTTAACCGCCGGCCATGTATATGCATTAAATAGTACTTGCATTACTCGATAATTCTCAGTAATGACTAAATATGGTGCTTTTATTTCAAGAAAGGATGGCGCTTCGATTGCCATAGTGGATTATCCTACTGAACTATTATAACTCGTCTTGAGGCTCATTCTCCTGTTTCTCACCTAGTTGACTAGCTACAGAAAATTTTCATGGTTTATCTAATGTATAGCATGAATAGAGTCAGTTTTCATTACAGAATCCTCACCAAAGATATCTCTTCTATAGTCCAAACAAAGAACGAAATATTTTGTATATAAAAACTAAGAAATAAAAGCAATGGATTGGGTCCCCGAACGAAGGCCTAGATCTGTAAAAATAAAAATTGTGAAAAACTCACAGATAAAGACTTCGTTGACTAGTTAACTCCCATGTTAAAGCCAACATTTGAACCGCTGCTCAACCACTGGTGAGCCTTTCCTCCTCTGCGAATTTCTCTTAATTTTATCAATTTTGGAACTTTTCTCCTGAGATATGCTACTAGTGTAAAAAAAGGCAGTAATGATATGCAAGTTGAGACACTGGCATTATTAACCACATCGATGTTATTTACATAGTAGGTTTGTTCCACGTGTCTGAGGTTTCTGGTTTATTGTTGCCTTCAGATTCATGTAAATGAGATTAATATCCTGCCATTTAGAAGAATCTGAAAGGCCGTGATCTCACTAGTGGCCGAGTGCTTAAGACCACTGAATACTGGGCCTTCAATTCCAGGTGATTGGGCTGGCTGCATCCCCTGGGAAGTCCTCCACGAAGTCATCTCTTCCCCTAGACACATAGCCTTTGCGAACCTTGCCATGTTCAATTAACTAAACCTAACGTGCACAGTGCCTTTGTTCACTGCTTTAAATATTTTTGTAATTATAGGAAAATTTTTTTAGAAACATATTATTGCGTGCGTACAGGTTTGTAATGGACTGAATGCACAAGTCGATGAAAAGTGAATAAAACTTATTCTTATCACAACAAATAAAACAAAATGTGGAAATTTTCTCAGCTATATTCGTACAGTATCACAATATCTCACAGTAGTTATATTTTAAACTACTAAAACGTTTTACAGAACACCATTCAAAGCAGAGAAAGCTAATCCGATTTCACCGCGAATTCGCTACAGTCAACAACAGGAACTAAGTAAACAAACTGAATTGAGATGTTTTCCTCCAGCTTTTATAAGCTTTTTAATCCTGCATGAGAATATTCTGGCATTTTCTCAACTTTTCTGGATAGCAGAAGAGCACAATTATGAGATATGTATTTATTAAAATGTTAAATGCGCGTGATCCTGTATTTAATTTTTTTCCGGCCTAGCTTTCTCTTCAAATAAGTCTCGTGCTGCATTGCACTGGATAATAAAACAATTTTAATTACAAAGTCTACTAAAAATAGCTAAATCTATTAGGGTCTGTTAGTCTGTTACAGTCACTGGTCTCAAGAACAGCATTTTCTGGATATGGGCTTGCACCGCTTAAGATAAATAAAAAGCCTTTAAAGAGCTTAATAACACTATTACACCGATTAAATTAACCCTAAATGAGAAATAGTATTTGTACATGTTCATACATAATCACAAATAGCACTATAGTATAGTGTGATCGTTGTTGATTAATACTGGAATAAGTTGCATTATTTATCAGTAAAAATAAATGCTGCAGTTAGATTATGTGAGTACTGCTTTCTTTGTACATAGAAGGCAATACAATACAACTCCAATTATCGGAACTCCGGACTATCCGAATCTCTGATTATCCGAATCGCTTTCAGAATTTAAGGAAAAAAAAAAAAAAAAAAAAAACGGAAACGTAGTGTTGGACAATCAACGATTTCAGACATTAAAAGGAGCTAAACTACACTTTTAAACTTCGTGTCACTGCTTGAAAACCAAGATAGAAGTTCTTCAAGAAAATCAATGAAGGGAGCAACAAAAATTTAGCAAATGTCGTTTTGAAAAGTAGTTTTTGCTGCAACGTTCTATGGGAAACCCAATCTCGGAACCGATTCTTTGTGAAAAAGCTAAGATCTTAATTCAAAAGCTTGGTTGTTCACCCTTTAAAGCAAGTAACGGCTGGCTAAGAAAGTTTAAGTGCAGGCACGGTGTCTATCAAACAGCTTACTTTGAGCGAGATGTTCAGCAAGCAATGACTTTGGCATTTGTAAGTACTGTACAGTACGCCATATAACATGTACGTAAAAGTGTTGCTTTTTCATTTTAATTAATTAAAACTACTTTTTCTTTAAAAATAGTTTTTTCTCTCGTTTTCAACATACAGTACATACTGTAAATAATTAAAGTGTACGTAAACCTTTTCTTCGGGAAAAAAATCCAATTATCCGAATTTTTGATTATCCGAATGGGGTCCGGTCCCAATTGATTCGGATAGTTGGAAGCCTTAGAAGTGGTCTATAACCATAAGAGCCTCTTACAACGGAAGCTAAATAAGTATGTTTGGTTTTAGTTTCTTTCATCAAGGCAATCAAGGGTACTATGCCTAACAGTGTGAATGCCCTCGTGGAGAATGTTTCGTATGCACATTACATGTCGGAAAAATCAAGAAACCGTCCATGCAACCAGCCTTGTTCGCCAGGATTTGCAGCCGTGTTAAACTACCGGTATTCTGCGCTTTTATTATTTGGCCGCTGGTATGCCACTAAATAAACTAAAATGACAGCATAAGAAATACGGAACAGTTGTTTTTCTTATTTGTACTCAGTTATTAAAGCTTGAGAAGGCCTACGCATTATAAAATTTTAAGACTACAGAAAGGAGAATACGCATTTAAAAATTTTAAGACTACAGAAAGGAGAAATTTAAATCTCTTTTTAAGAAACAACTGAGGGATAATTTTTTCTTCAGAGTCCTTTTAAAATGTAACTGTTACGAATGATTCCTTTTCACTTATTTCAATCGGCGAATTCAACAAGTTAAGCAACAATAAAGCATCAGCATTACATATATTTTTCATTAAGGATTTCGTGTAATAGGAAGTGAAAAGTTTAACATAGAAATTAATTGGAGAATAGATTTTAGCCCAAATTAAACTTGGTGATTTTTTGAAACTTCACTCAGTATCCAATAACTAACTGTGCTTACTTCAAAGAAAATTGACCAGAACCATGTGCCAACAGCCGCGAAATACACAAATGACCAAATTCTTCGAAGGATTTTATAATTAAAAGACGGAAAATGTCAAAATGTTGTCAAATTTTATATAACTGAAAATTCTGTCGAAGTATCGTTAACGAAAAAGTATTAAACAATTCTGTATTGAACAATTACTTAAAAAATAAGTACGTATTATTTTTGTTCAATAATGTAAGTAATTAAATTTTAACTTGTATTTACGTATTTTATTTATCATTGAAAATTCAATTTTATGTCCATTTAACGCAAAAAAAAAAAAAAAAAAAAAAAAAAAATATCTATATATATATATATATATATATATATATATATATATATATAGTAATTGAAAATTTGAAGCATTTGAATGTGATTTATTATTATTAGGAAAAAATGATAGTGTTAAACAGAAGAAAGGGGCTAAACATATGTTTAGTCTTTTTTTTCTTTCTTGGGGAAGCACTTGCGCACGGAACGATTTACAGTTTCGCATCATATAGCCCGTGGCAAATCGGGCAATGGAAAATTTCTTTGATCTTACCCTTCCACTGATGCCCTAAGGTTAGTTTGATTTATGTGACTACTGCAAAGCCTCGATGGCTATATGCCTAAAGTGAGGTATGCCTTCGTAGAGGATTTTCTAAGGGAAACTGGCTCATATACTTGTTACACATAGGGAACACAGCGAAAACGCCCATGCAGCCAGCCGGTACGCAGGACTCGAATTTCCTGATGCCCTTAGCATACTTATTTTGCTTAATCCAGGCTTGAATGCACTAAGCAGCAGTTCAGACCAACTGAATCAAAGAAGCGTCTTAACATTTCGGATTTGGGATTTTTCTCGTTACAGCAGAAAAGACGCCACAGATTTGTATGGAAAGAACCATATGCCAACTAGATACTTCCGGCGAGAAAGTGTACTTCCGACATTAGCGTACTTTGATTATAGTAAACATATTTGGAAACAAAATAAATATATCTTTTGGGTTAGTTTATTTAAATAAAGAAAGAAAGGAAATGACGCACTTTAAAAATATTTTTTGACTATATTTACTTTGAAAGGTTTCATAAGTGATAACACGCCCAATATTGGCCGAGCGCTAATGTCGCTGAAAACTGATAATTCAATCCGAGCTCTCAAATTCGGTGGTGAAAACGCTGGTTGCTTGGGTGGCCAAGCGGTAAAATGATTAAATACTGGTAGTTCGACCCAGTTTGCGATGCGTAGGCTTTCAATTACACCCGAAGGCATGCGGAAAAGGAGAGAGTAAATACCCTATAAAGTGGTTACCGGAAGGATATTTCAAAATTGCTAATAGATATTTAAATAAATGGAAATACTCAGCCATATACAATAACAAATGATTTATTTTTGCTTTGTTTTGAGAAGCTTTT